CCAAATACCAAATAATTACAAGGACGTGGAAAGGCGCCTGCACACCTTAGAGAAGAGGCTCGACCGAGACAGCAATCTCAAGCTACAGTACGAAGAACGCATACAGAACCTCTTCAACTCGGGTTACGCAGAGCGCACGCCTATGCCACCACCGCAAGGAAGGACATGGTATCTGCCACACTTCCCAGTCATCAACCCTGCGAAACCAGACAATCCGCCAAGATTGGTGCACGACGCCGCAGCGAAGACAGCCGGAATATGTCTCAACGATATGCTTCACTCGGGGCCCGACTTGTTACAATCATTGCCCGGAGTAATCATGAGGTTCCGACAGTATCCGTATGCAGTGAGCGCCGACATAAAAGAAATGTTCATGCAGATTAAAGTGCGCAAAGAAGATAGAGACGTTTTACGTTTCTTATGGAGAGGCAAGCGGCGGGAGGACCAACCGGAAGAATATAGGATGACGTCAATCATCTTTGGAGCGACATCATCACCGTGCACAGCATTATACATCAAAAATAAAAATGCTGAAGCTGCGGTCGCCATAAAAAGAAATCACTATATGGACGACTACTTGCAGAGCTTCCACTCTGTCACGGAAGCTCAGCAAACGGTAAAAGCAGTCGATCACGTCCACAAACAAGCGGGATTCGTACTCAGCGGGTGGACATCGAACGAAGAGAAAACAATAGAAGAAATAACGACAGAACATAAACAACACGACGCGACCGTGAGCCTGGGTGGAAAAGAAACTGAGAAGACGCTCGGCCTGCTCTGGCATGTACAAAGCGATCATATTGGATTTAATACTCACAATATGAAGATGCCTGCCGACGTAAAAGAAAAACAACGCTTGCCAACTAAACGTGAAGCGTTGAGCGTCATAATGGCTTTATTTGATCCGCTGGGATTAATATCACCAGTGACCACCCCAGCGAAGAGAATATTCCAAGACACATGGCGTTACAAGGCGGACTGGGACGACCCTCTGCCCACGGAATTAAAAGAAAAATGGGAAGACTGGATTACTTCACTTAACGCCATAGAACAACTGAGAATACCGCGATGCTACGATTACAACCCGGTGTCGACGCGCTAACTACACACATTCGTCGACGCAAGCGAGGAGGCCTATGCAGCAGCCGTGTATTGGAGAACGGAGCGAGCAGACGGCAGCGTTAACGTATCATTGGCTGCCGCCAAGAGCCGTGTAACACCACTGAAGCCAGTCTCCATACCACGGCTCGAATTACAAGCAGCACTGCTGGGAGCTCGTCTCGCGCAGACCGTGGTCGATGAGCACGATGGTGATATAGCGGGCAAGACATACTGGTGCGACTCTCGTACAGCACTGGTATGGATAAGATCGGAGCCTCGCGCGTACAAAGCTTTCGTCGCTCATCGCCTGGCGGAGATAGAAGATACGACCAAGAAGAACGAATGGCGTTGGCTACCGTCTAAAGAAAACGTGGCAGACGACGCGACCCGATCCACGCCAGAAAGATTCAACGAGTCACACCGGTGGTTCCGAGGGCCCCCGTTTCTGCAACGTCCACCAGCAAAATGGCCGCAGGAAGAGAAAACGACACCGGGGAAGAACGAGAAGTATGTAACATCGCAGTTAAAAGGGTAGACTCGCCAACAACACATCTGCCACAAATAGACAGATTTTCGAAATGGATTCGCCTCATAAGGGCGACAGCGAGTCCTCCTATTCATCGACATGTGCAGACCAAACAAGCACTTGGTGAAGGCTGGGCGTAAACGCAACCGAGCAAGACAAGATAGCGACCCTGGCTGGCAAAGAACAAACAAACGCAACACCCCAGCCAAGGAGAAAAAGGCAACTCCTACTGTCTCATCACTTGTAGGAATACCGGCCGCTTATCACGCAAGAGCCGAACAACTGTGGGTGCAAGCCAGTCAGCGGGAAAGCTTCACGAAGGAGCTCAAGAGGATCGCCAACCGAAGTGTTCCGGGAGGTGACGACAAATTAGGCCACCTGAGCACATACATCGATGAAGAGGGGACCCTACGCCTCAGAGGTCGAATAAAAGCAGCATCAGAAGTAGAAGAGGACACGTACGACCCTCCCATACTAGACGGGAAGCACACATACACTCGTCTGTACATAACCCACGTACACGAGAGGTTGCATCACGGAGGCGTGGAAACAGTCGTGAACGAATTAAGACAGAGACTGTACATAAGAAAAATATGTCCAGTGGTGAAAACTGTCGTCAAAAGCTGCCTACCGTGCCGTCTAAGAAAAGCCAAGCCTGCATCACCATCTACAGGGAACCTGCCGTCCGCACGTCTCGCTCATCACGCACGTCCGTTCACATACACCGGACTGGACTACTTCGGGCCAATAGAAGTCACAGTGGGACGACATCGTGAAAAGCGCTATGGCGCGTTATTCACCTGCATGACATCCCGAGCAATACACATAGAGGTAGCCCACTCATTAAGCGCTGACTCAGCCGTATCGGCGCTCAGACGTTTTATGAGCAGAAGAGGATGCCCAAAGGAAATATGGAGTGACAACGCTACGTGCTTCAAGGCAGCCGACAAGGAGCTGGCCGAAGCAGCACTCGCAGCCCTCGAGCACGAAACCACATGTCGACAAATTGTGTGGAAGTACATACCACCATCAGCACCATTCATGGGCGGCGCGTGGGAGTGAATGGTTCGCTCCGTGAAAGAAGCTCTACGCGTCACCCTCAACGAGCGTTATCCCAGTGACGAGACCTTGGTGACCCTGCTCGCCGAGGTCGAAAACACGGTCAACTCAAGACCTCTCACACACGTCTCAGTCGACCCAGGAGACCCAGAAGCCATCACGCCGAATCACATTATCATCGGTCCCAACTCGCACGTACCTGCGCCGGGACACTTCAGCGAAAGTGACGTGACGGCCCGCCAGCAGTGGAAACGAGCTCAAGCCCTGGCCGACGTGTTTTGGAGAAGGTGGGTAAAGGAATACCTGCCCCTACTCCAACGCCGGCGGGAGCCCAGCAGCATAGGCGTATCACCGAAGATTGGGGACCTAGTCATCATTTGCGACTGCAATCTACCACGCAACATCTGGCCCAGGGGGAAAATCAGCAACGTGTATCCTGGCGTCGACGGAGAGGTACGAGTAGTGGACGTAACCACAAGCACGGGGCATGTACTACGAAGACCGACAAAGATCGTCGTGCTACCAGAGGGATCGCAGCGTGGCGACGGCGGGAGAATGTGCACGACGCAAACATAGCAATACCTCGAACGAAATGACTTACGGATTGCTTGTGGTAACCATCGCTAGTTGAACAACCTGGGGACGGTGGGCGGAGCCAGGAGAATGTTATGATCGTCGGGGCGCGCTTACGGTTCCACAACTAGAGGTGGTTGCCCACAGCAACGCGGGAAAAGCCGTAGGATTAATATTAATGAATATAGCATTTATTGGTAAACAAATGATATTGTAACTATGGAATAACTCTCGCAATAAAGGCACCGACCAACTGGCGAGAGTTAACATAGATTTAGGATATAGAAATTAATCAATACCAAATTGTAGAATAAGTATGTGTAAAGTATATTCCCTTGTATAGTTCAATTTAATTTCATATATACTAAGCCCTTAGGCACGATAAACAATAAACAGGGCATGTTACCGTGACTCGGCCGCGGAGCGAATGAGGCTACGCGCGCCGCGCCACGACGTTTTATATTTATAGTGCTGAGGCGGGGGGCAGGGTTCTCAGCTCAAAATTGCGGAAATAATAACGTATTAACCTGTATTATGTAGAAAAATTATTATATAAGTACTAGTTAAATAAGCAATTGTAAAAATATAATATATTTAAGTTTGTACATTAGTTTATAAGAAATTTGCCAAATAAAGAAAGGCGCGGGGGTGAGGCAAGGGTCCGCTGGCCAGCAATGGCCGAATCATATAAAAGACGGGCCGGTCGGAACGGTCGGCAGTCGCTCTCCAGCTACAGTAAAGAAAACAACAAGAAAGAAAAGAAAAAGTTCCTCCTCACCGCCGCTTGCCTCCAGTAGTAAGCAAGACCAACGTGTTTCACTCATTTTTCGAACGGCGTTACGGCGATCCGTAATAGCATCATACTATGTTTTATTTGGCATTAAAAATTTCTATCTCGAATACTTGGTTAGCAAAACCAAATACCATTCATCATTTAGGCATTATCATCATAACCTAAACAAGCGCAGAAGGAAATGTTATTGCTTAATTTCTTTCTGTAAGTCACAAGTATCTTAGAATAGTTTGGGAAATATTATTTACATGTTGTTAAATTTAGTGCTCTATTATTTTACCTACAGGGAAAAAAAATTAATAATGTTTACCAAAATAAATCGACTACACAAAGTATAAAATCGATAGAGGCTATATGGTACATTTGTCCTTTGTCTATCAAATGTTAAAAAAAATATATGACATCACCTTTAAATTTTTTTATAGCAATAAAACTTATAAACATTGAAAATAATTTAATTACAAACTAAACAGTTGATGTAATTTCGAAGCCAATAAAAAAAACCCTGTCTCGATACGTCAATTATTGCGGGAGTTATCGTGACCACATAAGAAAATCAACATCCAGACGTCCACATAAAATTTTTTCAAACTATTTTTTTTCAAAGTAGCAATATAAAATGGCAACTATGGCAAATAGCACCCCATGAGATAATTATGTTCAGTGGTGGACTTTGTAAAACTGCTAAAATGACATTACAATATGCTGATCAATTTAGCTTTTTTTGCTGAGAGGTGGCATAATAATCTCTAGATTTGCCGACATAAAACTCTAGAGCTGAAGAATACAATATTAAGTTAACCCTTTATTTGGTAGCCAAAAATATTTATTTGAGAATTTTCTTAATCCTAAAACAAAGAACATTTTAAATATATTCTGATTTTTATTAGTTTTCACAAACAAATCTGATTAAATATATTCACTACGAAAGTGTTTCATTGTACTTACTTTTGCAAGTGATCAGCTTGGAGTGTTTCAGACAACTTGTTTGGGTAAGTGATTGTAGTGATTTTTGGGCTTGTTGTTCCATCCACATCACCGATGCCCACCTCCAAGCTGCCAACTTGTATTTCACCCAACACTGCTACGTTGATGTTTGCCGTTTTTGAGCCAGCACTGAGGGAGATCTTGTACAATCCATATTGTGCTTTAATCTTGCTTAAGTTAAGGACATAAGTCGTGGGGTCATTGGGTTTCTGTGTAAGTGGCTGCTTGGAGAGAACAACAACATCATCGGCAAGTCTAGTGGCAGATTGTGCTATGACTTCCTCGGGCTTTAGGCCACGTACTGGACGTCCAATGATATCAGTGATGGAAAACTCTACACTATCAGATTCGGAAGTGACGTATTTTTTCCCTTTAATTGTAATGCTGATTGGAGATGGCTGTAAAGATAATATAATAAAATTAATGAAAATATGAGAATCCCCAATTAGTAAGCTGAAGTAGCAATGGGCCGGCCATATAGCTCTAAGAACCAACAACTGATGGGGAAATAAGGTTCTCGAGAGGCAACCCGTATCGGTGAGCGAATTGTAGGACGGCCCCCACTAGATAAACAATGATGACCTGGTGAGATATGCAGGAACTAGATGGATACAGGTGGCTGAGGATCGTGCTTTCCGGCATTCCTTGGGGAAAACCTTTGTTCACATTGGATTGTGAAGGACTGTAATGATGATAATGATGACGAGAATCACATCTTATTGGCCTGCAGTGTTCGTGAAATTAGTGGCTTTTCAACTTTTGGCTCATTCCTAAAATAAGTTATCTGAAATATCAACACCAGTGTAGGAAAGTACTGAGGAGTGGAACGAAAAACAATATCAAACTAACTACAACACTAAGGTCGATGTTGTCGACAAGTATGTTTACCTGGGACAAATAGTCCAACTAGGTAAGGCCAACTTTGACCAAGAGGTCAATCGACGGATTCAACTCGACTGGGCAATGTTTGGGAAATTACGACACATCTTCTCGTCAGGTATACCTCAAAACTTGAAAATGAGACTATACAAACAGTGCGCGTTGCCAGTGATGACTTATGGAACTGAGATGTGGTCCTTCACTGCTGGCCATATGAGGAAGATCAAGGACACTCAGCGAGCTATGTAGTGGGCTATGCTCGGGGTTTCTCTGCGTGATAAACTTAGAGTTGAGGATAGAGAGATATTCACAGTAGAACCAGAGTGACCGACATAGCCTAATGGATTAGTAAGCTGAAGTGCCAATAGGCCGGCCATATAGCTCGAAGAACCGACAACCGATGGGAAAAAAGGTTCTCAAGTGGCAGCCTCGTACTGGTAGGGGAAGTGTAGGGCGACCCCCCCACTATAAGTAGTGACGACCTGGTAAGACATGAAGGAAGTTGTTGGATCCAGGTGGCTCAGGACCGTGCTTTGTGGCATTCCTTGGGGGCAGCCTAAGTTCAGCAGTGGATTTGTGAGGCTGTAATGATGATGAATATTCATCTCTTATGTATTTAAAAAGTACTCAATATTTTTATGATACGCCTTATACATGGTGGAGTCACATGCTGCTATATTATGATTGTAGCATGAACGAGTCTGCTTGATCAAGGACCACACTGTCACAGAATACCAGTGTAAAGTAATAGCTTTTTGCTGCTGTTTTGTATGGTGAGTGCAGAGAACTGGAGACCCTTTTTATCGGAAATGAGGCATTCCATCTTATACCTCAGGGGTGACAATGCATCTGAATATTGATTCTTAATCGAGAATAGATGCAGATGTCTATCGACCACTTACAATTAAGTAGGCTGTGTGCTCGTTTGCCACTATATTCTATTTAAAAAAAACACCTACCTCGTCATTAGCAAGAGCATTAGCTGCCTCCAACAATAAGGCGGCGCCGCGTGGAGTGCTAACAGATCGGCCAGTTATATAGTTCGCAAACTTGTAGCGCTGTTCTTCATTTAATGGCGAAGGTTTCTTCAGACTTTTATATGTTCTGTTAAGAAATAAAAAATAATTCTATAGATAGTATTATGTATAATTAAATATAGGAAACTGAACACATTTTTCTCCATGTATATGAATGTGAAATTAAAGTAGTATTGGACCAGCCGTATAACTGTTTAAACTGACAAACTATGGTGTTTACAACGAAAAGAAGATTTTCGAGTGTCAGCTTTGTACCAATAATACGTGATAGAGCCATGCTGCAGCTATATTTCTGGTATAGTTGTAGCACGAATGGGTTAGCTCGACCGGGGAAGGACCACGCTCTCACACAATACCAGCGTAAAATAGCAGCTTAATGCTACTGTGTTTCGTATGGTGAGTTTAGAGAACCGGAGACCCTTTTTACTGGAAACGAGGCATTCCATCTTAGTCCTCACGGGTAACAATGCATCTGCATTTTGATTCGTAATCGAGGATAAATGTAGACGTCTATAGCACAAAGAAGTTGGCTTGGAAGTATGACTGGTCAAATGAATGAATAGGTGCACAGCTCACTAAATGCTCAATTCAAATCTGCAATTGCTCACATTATTAATTTATTATTTAAATAGTTATTAATAATTTAAAATACAGAATTTTTTTTGTTTATTATACTTAAAACCAATAAACTTTTTTTTAAATGAATAACTGCCCATAATTGCTCACAAAATGCTTAATTTAAATCCGCAAATGCTCACACTATTCATAAATTATTTAATTATTTATTAATAATTTAAAATACAAAATTGTTTTTTCCTACACCGATCAGATTAAAGAATATGCGCTCATAATTGCTCACTAAATGCTCAATTCAAATCTACAATTGCTCACACTATTAATTAATTACTTAAATAGTTATTAATAATTTAAAATACAGAATTTTTTTTGTCTATTATACTTAAAACCAATAAACTTTTTTTTAAATGAATAACTGCCCATAATTGCTCACAAAATGCTTAATTTAATGCCGCAAATGCTCACACTATTAATAAATTATTTAATTATTTATTAATAATTTAAAATAAAAAATTGTTTTTTCCTACACCGATCAGATTAATGAATAAGTGCTCATAATTGCTCAGTAAAAGCTCAATTCAAATCCGCAATTGCTCACATTATTAATTTATTATTTAATTAGTTATTAATAATTTAAAATATAGAAAAGTTTTTGTCTATTATACTTAAAACCAATAAACCAATTTTAAAATAAATAAGTGCTCATAATTGCTCAAAAAATGCTTAATTGAAATCCGCAATTGTTCACACTATTAAATAATTATTAAATTACTTATTAATAATTTAAAATACAAAATTGTTTTTTTCCTACACCGATTAGGTTAATGAATATGCGCTCAAAATTGCTCACTAAATGCTCAATTCAAATCTGCAATTGCTCACACTATTAATTAATTATTTAATTAGTTATTAATAATTAAAAATACAGAATTGTTTTTGTCTATTATACTTAAAACCAATAAACTTTTTTTTAAATGAATAACTGCACATAATTGCTCATGAAATGCTCAATTCAAATCCGCAAATGCTCACACTATTAATTAATTATTTAATTAGTTATTATTAATTTAAAATACAAAATTGTTTTTTCCTAAACCACTCAGATTAATGAATTAGTGATCATAATTGCGCAGTAAAAGCTCAATTCAAATCCGCAATTGCTCAAACTATTAGTTAATTATTTAATTAGTTATTAATAATTTAAATTACAAAATTGTTTTTTCCTAGACCACTCAGATTAATGAATAAGTGCTCATAATTGCTCAGTAAAAGCTCAATTCAAATCCGCAATTGCTCACATTATTAATTTATGATTTAATTAGTTATTAATAATTTAAAATACAGAATTGTTTTTGTCTATTATACTTAAAACCAATAAACCAATTTTAAAATAAATTTTAATAAGTAATTAAATAATTATTTAATAGTGTGAACAACTGCGGATTTCAATTAAACATTTTGTGAGCAATCATGAGCACTTATTCATTAATCTGAGTGGTTTAGGAAAAAACAATTTTGTATTTTAAATTATTAATAAGTAATTTAATAATTCATTAATAGTGTGAACAATTGCGGATTTCAATTAAGCATATTGTGAGCAATTATGAGCACTTATTCATTTTAAAATTGGTTTATTTGTTTTAAGTATAATAGACAAAAACTATTCTGTATTTTAAATTATTAATAACTAAATAAATAATAAATTAATAATGTGAGCAATTGCGAATTTAAATTGAGCTTTTACTGCGCAATTATGAGCACTTATTCATTCATCTGAGTGGTATAGGAAAAAACAATTATGTATTTTAAATTATTAATAACTAATTAAATAATTAATTAATAGTGTGAACAATTGCGGATTTGAATTAAGCATTTTGTGAGCAATCATGAGCACTTATTTATTAATCAGAGCGGTTGAGGCAAAAACAATTTTGTATTTTAAATTATTCATAAGTAATTAAATAATTAATGAATAGGGTGAGCATTTAGGGATTTAAATTAAGCATTTTGTGAGCAATTATGGGCAGTTATTCATTTAAAAAAAATTATTGGTTTTAAGTATAATAGACAAAAATAATTCTGTATTTTAAATTATTAATAACTACTTAAATAATTAATTAATAGTGTGAGCAATTGCAGATTTGAATTGAGCATTTAGTGAGCAATTATGAGCGCATATTCATTAATCTGATCGGTGTAGGAAAAAACAATTTTGTATTTGAAATTATTAATGAATAATTAAATAATTTATTAATAGTGTGAGCATTTGCGGATTTAAATTAAGCATTTTGTGAGCATTTATGGGCAGTTATTCATTTAAAAAAAAGTTTATTGGTTTAAAGTATAATAGACAAAAACTATTCTGTATTTTAAATTATTAATAACTAATTAAATAATAAAGTAATAACGTGAGCAATTGCAGATTTGAATTGAGCATTTAGTGAGCAATTATGATCACTTATTCATTAATCTGAGTGGTTTTGGAAAAAACAATTTTGTATTTTAAATTATTAATAAGTAATTAAATAATTAATTAAAAGTGTGAACAATTGCGCATTTCAATTAAGCATATTGTGAGCAATTATGAGCACTTATTCATTTTAAAATTGGTTATTTGTTTTAAGTATAATAGACAAAAACTATTCTGTATTTTAAATTATTAATAACTAAATAAATAATAAATTAATAATGTGAGCAATTGCGGATTTAAATTGAGCTTTTACTGCGCAATTATGAGCACTTATTCATTAATCTGAGTGGTATAGGAAAAAACAATTTTGTATTTTAAATTATTAATAACTAATTAAATAATTAATTAATAGTGTGAACAATTGCGGATTTGAATTAAGCATTTTGTGAGCAATCATGAGCACTTATTTATTAATCAGAGCGGTTGAGGCAAAAACAATTTTGTATTTTAAATTATTCATAAGTAATTAAATAATTAATGAATAGGGTGAGCATTTAGGGATTTAAATTAAGCATTTTGTGAGCAATCATGGGCAGTTATTCATTTAAAAAAAATTATTGGTTTTAAGTATAATAGACAAAAATAATTCTGTATTTTAAATTATTAATAACTACTTAAATAATTAATTAATAGTGTGAACAATTGCGGATTTCAATTAAGCATTTTGTGAGCAATTATAAGCACTTATTAATTTTTAAATTGGTTTATTGGTTTTAAGTATAATAGACGAAAACTATTTTGTACTTTTAATTATTAATTACTAATTAAATAATAAAGTAATAACGTGAGCAATTGCAGATTTGAATTGAGCATTTAGTGAGCAATTATGAGCACTTATTCATTAATCTGAGTGGTTTAGGAAAAAACTTTTTTGTAATTTAAATTTTTAATAAGTAATTAAATAATTATTTAATAGTGTGAACAATTGCGGATTTCAATTAAGCATTTTGTGAGCAATTATGGGCAGTTATTCATTTAAAAAAAAGTTTATTGATTTTAAGTATAATAGACAAAAAAATTCTGTATATTAAATTATTAATAACTAATTAAATAATAAATTAATAATGTGAGCAATTGCGGATTTGAATTGAGCTTTTACTGAGCAATTATGAACACTTATTCATTAATCTGAGTGGTTTAGGAAAAAACAATTTTGTAATTTAAATTATTAATAACTAATTAAATAATTAATTAATAGTGTGAGCAATTGCAGATTTGAATTGAGCATTTTGTGAGCAATTATGGGCAGTTATTCATTTAAAAAAAAGTTTATTGATTTTAAGTATAATAGACAAAAAAATTCTGTATATTAAATTATTAATAACTAATTAAATAATAAATTAATAATGTGAGCAATTGCGGATTTGAATTGAGCTTTTACTGAGCAATTATGAACACTTATTCATTAATCTGAGTGGTTTAGGAAAAAACAATTTTGTAATTTAAATTATTAATAACTAATTAAATAATTAATTAATAGTGTGAGCAATTGCAGATTTGAATTGAGCATTTTGTGAGCAATTATGGGCAGTTATTCATTTAAAAAAAAGTTTATTGATTTTAAGTATAATAGACAAAAAAATTCTGTATATTAAATTATTAATAACTAATTAAATAATAAATTAATAATGTGAGCAATTGCGGATTTGAATTGAGCTTTTACTGAGCAATTATGAACACTTATTCATTAATCTGAGTGGTTTAGGAAAAAACAATTTTGTAATTTAAATTATTAATAACTAATTAAATAATTAATTAATAGTGTGAGCAATTGCAGATTTGAATTGAGCATTTTGTGAGCAATTATGGGCAGTTATTCATTTAAAAAAAAGTTTATTGGTTTTAAGTATAATAGACAAAAAATATTCTGTATTTTAAATTATTAATAACTATTTAAATAATTAATTAAGAGTGTGAGCAATTATGAGCGCATATTCATTAATCTGATCGGTGTAGGAAAAAACAATTTTGTATTTTAAATTATTAATAAATAATTAAATAATTTATTAATAGTGTGAGCATTTGCGGATTTAAATTAAGCATTTTGTGAGCAATTATGGGCAGTTATTCATTTAAAAAAAAGTTTATTGGTTTTAAGTATAATAGACAAAAAAAATTCTGTATTTTAAATTATTAATAACTATTTAAATAATAAATTAATAATGTGAGCAATTACAGATTTGAATTGAGCATTTAGTGAGCAATTATGTGCACCTATTCATTAATTTGACCAGTCATACTTCCAAGCCAACTTCTTTGTGCTGATGTCTATGGGCCACAGCAACCACTTACCATCAGGTGGACTGTGTGCTCGTTTGTCACCCTTATCCTATAAAAAAAAACTTAAGTGCATGGCAGCTTTTTACTACATCATTGAGTAACAATCTGGTAAGACATGCAGAAAGTCGATGGATGCATGCAGAACAGGATTTTTTTTTGTGGTGTTTCTAGGAATAGGTCTATGAATTAAGATACCTATGGCAATGATCTCCCCTATGACAGTCTAATGGGGGGGGGGGTATGAGGGAGGTAATGAGTAGGGCTGTAATAATGATGATGATGATTATATGAATACTCACCTAGAAATAGTGCCAAGAAGTAACGCGGTGACGGGCAATCCACCTTCGAAGTGCAATGCGCGCGAATCACTCTCATCGGCCGCCAGCAGCACTCCCTCGGCATGAGACGACGTCCACGCGCCACAGCCCATGTGCTCGCACAGTGCGAATACGTACCCATAGCTGTGTAATATAATATTGTTATACATAGTAGTACACTTCTTTAAGTTTTAGCATTTTATTACATTATATGTATACATTTTCTAAACTGTTTCCCATACTTTATTAACATACAAAATCATTCTATAACTGTCCACAGCTGGATATAGAATTATTGCAGGTAGTACTGTTACCATTATAGCCTATTAAAGTACACTGCTGAACATACATAGGCCTCCCCCAAAGATTGTCTCATAGGGGAGGATATTTGCCCTAGTTGCCACACTAGGCAAGAAGGTTGGCAACTGCAGTTTTTTTTATTTTTAGTCAAGGAGACACTGCATCCTATCTCTTAATTTGTTTCTTTCTATCACCTCTTACAACAACCATGGGATGATATGAAGTAGTGGATGTTCTTACACCGCTACTACATGGTATCCCAGGTAGTAAAGAACCTATAAATAAAGGCTCTATAATGTATTTCTATGACTATACATTATATTTATATACTAGCGACCCGCCCTGGCTTCGTCTGTGTGGTACATATAATGTAATGTCTTTTAGATTATTAAAATAATTATTAATGACTATTTCTTTTATCAATTATTCCATTTCACAAAAAAAAATCTCCAAGTTTTTGGGACAAAATATAGCCTCGATCACTCTTAGCATTGTTTCCTATCTGCTTGAGAAGTTTTATCACAATTGGTTTAGCCATAGCAGAGATTAACCAGGACAGACAGACAAACAAAAAAATTTTAAATGGTTTTAAAATTTTTTTATAACATTATTTTATTACCTTTTACTAAAGTTGAGCCAATATCTTTATCTTTATATATAAAAATTACTTGTCACATTGTTTGTCCGTGATGAACTCCAAAACTATTGAACTGATTTCAATGAAATTTTGCACACTGTGTTCAGTTTAGTCCAACTTGAGAGATAGGATAATTTTTATCCCGATAAGTGACCTTTAATATTTTTAAATTGTGAATGTAAGGATTTTTTATGGGAAGGGACGTTGGTAAAGGGCAGAACAACGTCTGCCTGGCCAGCTAGTATATTATATAATTCTTCTGTCCGTGTGTGTCACTGAATTCCTCCTAAATGTCTGGACCAATTTTGATGAAATTTTGTATGTGTGATGAATAAGTTAATTTGAAAATGGTTTATATTTACAATTGAACCCGATAAAGGGTGGTATTGTCGAGATCAAGAAATCACCTGGTTGAAACCGAGACGGATCACTAGTTTGTACTAATAAAAAATATAAGATTGAGCTCACTTGGCTGGTGAATCATCTTTCTTCAACAACTGTATGAGGTTCTTCAAGCCATCTTCTTTATCATAAATAGTACCTTTACCCATAGCCTTCAGAGCGAACACTGCATAGTATAATTCTTGTAAAGTAGCATCTTTTTTGTCCAGCGTCTGAGTGGGTGTTGGCAGAACATCTGGTTTCAGAATGTTGCGACAGTTAGAAAGTGCAGCTGCATTTGTGAAGTAGAAAACATGCTCTATGTTAGTCAGGTCATATTTTGCATTTTTTAAATCCTGTAAAAAACAAATTAAAAAACATATTGTAATACACCATGAGATCTGTATTACATAATAGTATTAAACTAAATCTATATGGAACAAAGGCACAAATCTGAAATGGTGGCTCCCACTTATATTCACACATTGGATAGTAGTATGATAATATTTAGTATTGTTTAACAATCTATTTTTAATTAAAAATGTTTATTTTAAAATTTAAGATAATTAAATAATAAGCTGTCTTTTGGTGTCCTCTCTTTTTTCCACATTTCCTTCTGCTATTAAATCATAAAAAATAAAAACTTTATCGATTACATGATTACAGTTAGAATGATTTGTCTCTAAAATGAACTATAAGTATATAAATGCTTATTTTTCATAGTTTTTGCATTGCTATAAAGCAAAAGGTGGTTGGTAGATTAAACCACCTAAGCTTGGTAACAATTTGCTAGCCTGCTGCCCACTCTAGACCTTTAGAATGGTACAATTATAACAACTCAGCATTTAGCAAAATCAGAACATCCATAGTTTACAGGTGAAGATATTGTTTACAAGGTTTTTTCAAGGCCACAATTAACAATTTGTCAGTGTGTCTCTCAAACTCAGTGTTAATTTTACTTTACGTTTTGAGTCAACACATTCCAATTAACTTTTAGTTGACTCAAAACACTGTTGACAGCAACAGACACTTTAGGGTGGAAACATAATGGTGAGTGTGTAGCAGGGCTGTTTTTTAAAGTGTTAATTAATAAATATTTCATTTTAATACAAAAAGAAAACAGGCTTTACAATCGCTGTCTTCTTCATACAAAAAAGAATGTCACATCCAAAAACATGGCATACAAGAGCAGTAGAGGATTCAAACTTTTTTAACTTTTAATGTAAAATGGAATTTTATCTTACTTGATTCAATAATGGATATCAGGATTCCTAAAGATTTAAGGAAGCAAGCCTAGTTACACTAATACAATAAACTATTATTGTTAACTTAACATGGTAATGAAGCTTACTTAAAATAAAATCAAATTACATGAATAACTTACTTCACAGACATCAGGTATTGTAGCATTAAGTAGTTTGAACCCTTTAATAGCAAAATACAAAGTACTGACATCTTTGCTTTTGAGGCCCTCTTCTAAGATTCCTTGCAGTTTCTTTATGTTAACAGTACTCTGAAGAACATTAGCTTCACTAAGAGCAACAGAACTTAAAAAAAGGAGGCATAGCACTGAAAGAGGGAACCAAATTAAGCAAAAATAAAGCTTGATAAGTAAATTTAAAAATAATTTTATGTATATATATATATAAAATACCCGTATAGTAGCGGTGTCAGAATATCCACTACCCCATATCATCCTGTGGGTGTCATAAGAGATGACAGAGGAAAACTGAAACAGGAGATGCTACTGATCTTCCTGATAACAACTTAGATAATAAAAAAAAAACTGAAGTTACCAATCTGCCTGCCAGGCGTGGCAACTATGGCAAAACCCTCCTTATGAAGCAATCTATGGGAGAGCCCTATGTTCAGCAGTGGACTTTTATTGGCTGTAATGGATGGATGGATAATACATACATTTATATAATTATATATAATAAAGAATATATTTTCCTAGAGATACAATGTAACTTGCATAAGGTATTTTACAGAAACCTGTTCATTTTAGGAATTATATTACGCTTAACATGACAAAGTAACCTAAAACCGATTTTTATCCGCCGGTAAAAAATCTTCTTTATAATGACGTGGCCTTAGCTGTTGTGATATTTATACAAAAAATAATAATACATGTTACTTGTGTGCCTGACCTAAACTTTCAATGCTATAAAGTATTACAATTATTAATATATTCCAGAGTTTGTCTCATATTTTCCATTTTAAGTTTTAACAGATACCAGATACTGGCGTGGTTAAATGTTTACTTTTTAAAACGGAGGTTTAGTAGAAGTACCTACCTCGAATATACATTTTTAACACTACAGAAACACGAATATGATAGATTTTCGTGTTTTAATTACTTTTAAAATTAATCTAGACGAGCAAATAATATTCTATTTTTTAAAATACATTTGATAACCGGCGTAAAGTTAATTTCATTTCATTCATTTGACAGAAATGCTCGACGTCGACGTTGCATCCAGTGTTGTCAGCGTAGCAGCGTAGCTTCGTAAAAGAAAAGTATCAAAATTATTCTGTAGAAAAGTAATTCAATAATACTAGTTGACTGGAAGATAACCTACTTACATTAAACACAACTAAAACAAAATTTCACTTTCTATGTTTTACAAAAACAGTTGCTTGCAATCCACGAAACGAATTTAAAATAATAATTCACCCGCATCCTTGTAATAGAAACAATAATGTTCATACATGTGAGTGTCCCATTCTAAGTAAAGCTGACAAATTTAGATATCTCGGTATAATAGTTGATAATAAACTCAATTGGGCTCCACATATTTCTTTTATTTCTAATAAAATCAGGAAGTTTATTTATGTTTCTCAGAATTTATAAACAATTTCAAGCTAGGATTAATAGTTTTCTGTGGTTTCAAACTGAAACCTATTGGTAAAAAAAAGTACAAAGCGCTATGCCAGAGCGTTATCAGTTATTACATATTGCTATATAGAATTAGAGCGAGCCCAAAGGGCTGTACTAAAGGTAATGCTTTCCCTTCCTTACAGATATATTAGACATAAACGGTATATAGTCAACTAAAGTACTAAGTGTTCGCAAATTATTTATATATTATAGTCTTAGGCGCTTTCATAGATGTGATGTTCCCCAATTACAAAATTCTAAAAGAACTGTTCGTATGGGTTTAATAGCTCCATACGAAGAACATTATATGCAGTACAACAATTACGCTACTTATACTCATACTCAAACACCCACACACATCTACACCCCACCCCATCCCACACGCACGGAGTCAAGGTTCAATGATGTTGTATAAAACAGAAGTGTCAAATAAATAATACTTATGTTCTGTGACATACCCAGGTATCGGTATGTTTCAGCCATAGACTTAGAATATACTGGCGTATAGACCGACATAGTGTGCAAGGGAGAAGAAAATTCCTTATGGCAAAAATGCAAGATTGAAAAGAATACCAAATCTCATTACATTGACCGATTTTGAATGACAGGTCGGCGCAATTCGGCACGCAATTTTATATGTACGCTAGGGATTGACTCAACTATATCAAAATTAATGTCGATATTTATCTTGAATGTTTATAATGTATCGATAGACTTGCCCTCACAACAAGAAAATAAATCCTCGGTTTGCGTTCGTTTAGACTAAAAACAATTTCATTAAAAGGAGGCATTTCTACATTATTGGTACTAGTAAGTATGATATTGTTATAATAATAAAACTTCAAAAATGTTGATAAAAATAGAGAAAGATTTTTGTACATTATAAAACTGTAGTACATTTAAGATAAAAATCTTAAAAATTATCCTATTTAAGCCATTATGAACCCAACTATCTATTTATCAACCAAAAAAGTGTATAACCTTTGTTACGGCCTACGGCTGCTCTCTTAAAGGATCAGACCATCAGGGGCCCATGAGCTGAAGGCCTCCCGAGCAGACGTAGGTCGGGCTCAATGTGGCCACGTGGAAATTTTCTGATGGGAGACAAACGAGGGGAATGTTACCACGATAAAGGCACTCACCTGCTCCAGGAGCGGAGACGATTCTCCGAGACCGGCCCGGCTGATGGTAGTGTTGTGAGTGTAGGTGTAATTGTATGTGTGTGTATGTTGACGGGCCCTGATCTGGATGCCGCAATGCCGTCCGGGAGAAGGTAGGTAGTGTTGTCACGAAATGGGACAGCTACACTTAGCACTTCAGAGGTAAATCACTTGTATGGTTGCACAATGAATTTAAAGTAGTTATTAGTTCCTGATTAAAGATAAGGATCTCGCAACGATATACACGGTGGCTACCTTCACAACAAGTTAAGCGCGGAAAAACGTCAGTCTAGTTCGCAAGAAAAACTACACTAACTCTCGAAAGTCCTATCCCGCCGCATAAGGCGGCCGGGGGGAAAGGGGAGCGGGAGGTGACCTCGATATCGAGGCCATGCGCGCGAGTTAAATACGTTTCGAAGGCAAAATAAATATTCTTGCCTATACAAACCCCCGCCCCGGACATAAGGCATTAGGTCCGCGAGTAGATTGGCAAACGAGACATGGTCGCGACGGCACGTTGCAAGACCGAATCTCCGACTAAAACCTCGGCCACCCTAGGCACCCCATCTGCTCCATACGACAATTTAACAATGCGCCCACGGCGCCAATACAAAGGTAGAGCGTTTGGTTCCTTAATCAACACGAGGTCTCCCACCCGAGGAGGCTCCGTCCTGTCAGACCACTTAACGCGCTGCTGCAAAAGATGTAGGTACTCCAGGGACCATCGGCGCCAAAAGCTTTGAGTCATCTGTTGCAGCAGGGCAAACCTGCTAAGCCGTGAAGCGCTCGTTTCCCTGAAGGGGTACTCGGGCAGAGCGTTAAGAGGCTGGCCAATCAGGAAGTGTCCAGGGGTTAGAACCTCCAAATCATTCGGGTCGGAGGAGAGGGGGCAGAGGGGCCGAGAGTTGAGTACCGCCTCAATTTTACAGAATACAGTGGCGAGCTCCTCAAATGTCAAAATAGATTCACCAATAACGCGACGGAGATGCGTTTTTGCCACTTTAACCACCGCCTCGAAAATACCGCCCCAGTGAGGACACGCCGGAGGGTCGAATTTCCACTGGATGCCCCTTTTTGACACAGCATTGCCTAAATAGCTACGGTGGCTAGACAGAAACTCGACGACCTCCTTTAGATACCTATCCGTGCCCTTATAGTTCGTTCCGCAATCCGACCGGATCAAGTCCGGCAACCCGCGCCGCGATACGAAACGGCCAAGCGTGGCCAAGAAGGCTTCCGTGCTGAGGGCGCTTACAAGTTCCAAGTGAACGGCTTTAGTGGAGAGGCACACGAAGACGCAAAGATAGGCCTTATGCGAACGGGCGTTACGAATGTTAGAGGACTTAACGAGGAAGGGGCCAGCAAAGTCGGTTCCGACTCCAGCAAATGGTCGGATGGCCCTGACGCGGTCGGGCGGCAAGTCACCCATGAGGGGCTGCGATATGGTGGCCTTCAGCTTATAACAGGGTATGCAATTAAAGATGACGCTCCGGATGAGACGTCGGCCAGACAAAATCCAAAACTCCCGCTGTAAAATAGCCGAAAGAGCGTTGCACCCAGCGTGGGCATTTTTAACATGGTGGTGGGCTACCAGCAATCGAACCAGGGCGCCGTCCTTCGGGAGCAGCAACGGGTGTCGAGCCCCGTACGGCAGTTGAGAATTTTTCAAACGTCCGCCAACGCGCAGCATCCCCGCGTTATCCAGAAAGAGGTTCAGGCGGGCCAGGGCGCCCTTGATAACGGAGCCACGCTTCAAGTTTTCAATGACGGGCTCAAATTGCTCCGTTTGGACCATACGGGTCCAGTGCATCAAAACTTCCCGGCGCTCGCTAGGGGACAAAACGCTATCAGAGAGTCGGTGGGATGGGTATCTCGAATTGCGGACAAAGCGGCGCAACCAAGCAGTAACTCCCAAGAGCTTATCGAGGGAGCTGTACCGTTCCAGAAGAGAGAGATCCCGAGTGGGCTTATCCTTGCCCACTCCGACTCGGGCTCGTAGGCCCGGCAATTCGGTAGGTTCGGAGTAATTGCCCCGGGGCCAGAATGACTGAGACCCAGATAACCAATCGGGACCCCAGCACAGTGGGTGGTCAACCAGCGATGGGGCCTCACAGCCGCGGGAAGCGCAGTCCGCGGGATTTAACTCCCCTGGGACATGTCGCCAGTTGAGAGAAGTCTCAGAACTCTGGATTTGAGAAACGCGGTTCGCCACAAAGATCTCGAGATTGTGAGGTGCAGCTCGGAGCCAACAAAGTACGATCTCACTGTCCGACCATGCGTAGACGCCCGTGATGTCGATTACAGGCTTCAAGGAAGAGTGAACGTGGTTGAGGAGTCGCGTGAGGAGAGCGGCGCCGGACAGTTCCAATTTAGGTATAGTTAAGCGGGACCTAATGGGAGCAACCTTGCTTTTAGCGAGTACGAGACGGGCGGCAGTATGACCAGAGGAACTCACCGTACGCAAATATACGACAGCAGCATAGCCCTTCTCAGAGGCGTCGCAAAACCCATGTAGGGTAGCCCGACATTTCCCGGGGGGAAGGAAGCACCTTGGCATGGAAACCCGGTTGATATCCGGAAGGGAGGAGAGCATGGAGAGCTACTCTCGCAAGAGGGCTCCGCCAATCGGCTCGTCCCAACCCAACCCGGACATCCAGAGCTTTTGAAGAAAGCACTTGGCTAAAAAGATGACCGGGGTGATCCACCCATTAGGGTCGAAGGTGCGGGCTACGGTGGACAGCACGAAGCGTTTGGTCCATGCTTTGGGCGGTGGGTCAAGTTTTACTCTATACGTAAAGGTATCCTGAACAGGCTGATATTGAATGCCCAGCACAGTCAATAAATTAGGATTCTCAGGGTGCTCGAACAGATGAGGGTCTTGCTGATCCTCTCCTGGGAGGTCCTTCAAAATATGAGGGGAGTTCGACAACCACTTGCGCAACTCATAGCCTCCAGACTTCAGGATGGCAATTAATTCGTCTCGCAAGACCAGAGCCTCCTCGACGGTGGAAGCGCCCGTACAAATGTCGTCCATGTAGACCGAAGTCTCCAAAATAGAAGCTCCTCGAGCGTATCTCAGGCGCTCTCTCTCCGCGAGTTCAAGGAGGGTTCGCATGGCGATATACGGGCTGGACCGGAGTCCATATGTGGTGGTGTTAAGCTCAAATACCTGTATAGGATCGCTGGGCTTCTCGCGCCACAATATCAGCTGATATCGGCAGTCATCACGATGAACCACTGATTGGCGAAACATCATCCGAATGTCCGCGACAAAAACCACTTGGTGTCGACGGAATTGGGTCAAGATGTCGGATATGTCCTTGATCAGTTTAGGACCCGAGTGAAGACACTGGTTCAGAGACACACCGTTTGATGTGGGGGCGGAACCGTCAAAAACTACCCGAATCTTACT